ATTTGTTGATGTATGTAATAAATACCATCTTAGCAGAACATTACAACTCCGACAAAGATTCATAACAGAGTTAATGTTATCCAATATTTTTTTTTCAATATTAGGGTTTCCAAGAATTTTTTTTATCTCAATTATTATTTTCTAAAAAATAAACAAATTTCATCATTAATATTTATAGTGTAAACAACATTTATAAATGATAAATATGGAATCCATTAAGATTATTATATATTTACAGTTTTTTATAACATAATTGTAAATTATTGTACTCTGCAAATCAGTAAATTAATTATATACACACAAATTATATGTAACACAATTTTATTTGATAAAAATAAACTTTTATTGCCATTTTTATTTGCCGTATTGTATACAATTATTAATTTTATTGTACAGCTTACAATCTTTTTTAATGCATTAATGCATCTTGACAATTTTAAATTAGAAATATATATAATTCATATCTTCTTAACTTTCGATTTGCCCTTCACTCTCAACTATATGAAGTCAACTACCCTTGCCCTAAACTTCCATGAGATTCTGTTCCTCGCCTCTTCTTTATCGGTTATTTCTATCGATCGGAGATTCTATCTATTCATCTCTTCTTCAGTCTTCTTCTCCCTCCCTTTCCATCAACATTAAGAGGACGTGATACCCGCATGTGTTGTCTCCGTCTTACAAGTGCGTAACATAGCAAATTGTACACTCAGCAGAACACGTGTAGTTCCGTTAATTTAAAAATTAAAGTGAACTGACCTCTTATAAAATCTAAAGGTAAGATTATTATCTAGGCAACCTCAAAGGCTTTTTAATATATTTTTATTTTAACGCGAGTAATAAGTATTTTAAGATGTATAGAGACAACACATGCAGGTATCACGTCCTCTTAATTTACATAGTAATTTTCTTTGCTTCTATGTCATTTCATACACCTTCCATACACAGCCTAACCATCTCAACCTATTTTGGTCTACAATTGGTTCCACTTCTACACTACCCCTAATAAAGAATTCACTTCTTATTCTCTCCTATCTAGTCATTCCGCACACCCACCTTAGCATTCTCATATCTGCTCAAATATGTTTAAGTATTTAACTCATATGATGTAAATATAATACCTACAGGCTACAATAAATTAAAATGTTTTAATATTTATAATATCAACACCATTACCTGAAGATTCACAGAACGAGAACTTGCCAAACGACTAATTTCAGCCGTTTGAATTGTATTATTTACAGCTGTCTTAGCTGCTTTAAAAGCTTCCCACGAATCAATTATATTTATTGTCACACCCATGTAAACATTAACAACCTTTAACAAAATTAATGTTATTTTTATTTTAATTTTAAATTTATATTACAAGTCAAATTAAATAATTAAATACCCAATTATCTGGAAAAAATTTATCAACTATTTCTCTCATAATAGCAAATTCTTCGTGTAATGTTTTAGGTTTGAAAAATAAACAAACAAATAACATTGCAGCTTGACTAGCAAGTGCAATACTTCTATGATCTGGGTTTGGATATGACGATAATTGATTGTATATATCATCTGACCTTAGTCTTCCAATGGACAAATTTATTAAATTTTTATTAACCGGTACTCGTCTGAAAATAAATTAGTAAATGAAAAATTACATTTATTTTAATACTAAAAATATTTCTCTATTTAGTCTAAAATTAATGTTTTCAACCACAACATATTATTGATATTTTAATTTAATGAATGGATTAGTTAAATTAGGCAAATTTTATACATTATTTGTTATTTACAATTTACATACGAAATTTTTATATTATATATCATAGTTTCATAGTATAATATCAGTTACTTGAAATAATTTTCAGGGTACGATGATACAGATTTAACTGAGTTTTGTTTTGTAGAACGTAATAATTTACAAATATCATCAATTGGGTTTTCACTATTATAGTCTTGTGCATTGTAACGATGGTAAGCTACCAACAATCTCTCTCGAATCATTCCTTCAATATAAATGTCAATAAATAATAAAATGACACCATACAAATACAACGATTCACACTGAAATCAATAAATCATATGGATAAAATATTTATTAAAGACATAGGCACTAGTTACAATGTACAAAAGTTTTTACAAAATATAATTACCAATAATTGTTTTCCTTCAATTGTAAGGAACATAGTTTCAATAGTATGTTGAATATATGACCCTTCCTCAACTTCATCGAGATATTCATTTAAATCACGTATGTATTTATATACATTTTCAAATAAAAAATAGAATTGGTTAATGATTTCCAAATTATTTTCTTTCAATTCTTCATTTAAATCCTTTAAGACCTAAAATGTAAAAATAAATGTATAGGTATTTTTCAAATTTCTATAGATGGTATAAATAATATTCTTTACTGGATTTGTTTCAATTTTTTTTTCAACTTCAATTGAATTATTAAAATATGAAAAATCTAATATTATTTGACCATATTTTTGTAAATCTTGTTTGCTGTTTAATCTAAAACAAACCACAAATAAAAATTAAATATTTTTTACTGTATTTGAACCATTTTTTTTTTTAACGATAACGAATTGTATTATTGTATTGTTATTATTATTAAAAGCCTATCCATTATTATGTATTATCATCAGAATAGTGTTCCAGAATTAAACCACTAATCATAGTATAAAAATACTAAAAATAGCAATCCTCTATAAAAATAAGAAAATGGCTTCAAGAACATGGACCACATTTTTGGTTCCCATAAAATGCAAATACATATTTTATAATATTATATGAGTAATTGAAATATTAGTTTAATAAGATTTACCTATAAGCTGGAGGAATGTAATCTTTAAGCCGTAATATTTCAGCAATAATAGCGTTTCCTCTAGATACTATTCGCAGCAAAGCCAAGCCGCAAGGATTATTTTCCATTGTATTATTTTTCAATGTAATTCAAATCCGGCATCCATAAATTGAATCGATGAGGGTAATATGTTTGATAATAAATTACTATAGTATATTTATGACAAAATAATAAATGAATTATGATTTTGAAATTTAATGAAAAATAAGAACATAGACACAATTCATTAAAATAAATTACTATAGAAATGTACAAGGTACAACTGCATATTACTAAAAAAAAGTCTGCTTAGTGCCAAGGTATCACAGATTACACTATAAAGTTAACTAAAGCGTAGACTTTCTATAAGTTTATGACTAAAAGTTACAACACAAATTACATTAATGTACTTCTAAATGGTAAAATTGGTTATATTATATAAATTTATAATGTCATTTGGCATTCCTCAATTACCATTTTATCTCTGATTTTAACATTATAATTTACTATACATATACATCAAAAAAAATATTTAAAAAAAAAACAACATTGAACATTATAGTTTTATACAAATTACAAATCGTGATATAGATATATGTTATCAACTCCATGATAAAGAATACTGATAAGTGATATTATTGTGATAACATAACCTGAAAATAAAATATAACCACATAATAAATATATATTATTATTATGTATAAATTATATAAATATTATTTTGTGATATAAGTAATATAACCACAATTTAAAGATACTTAGATCGTATTATACAAGTGTATGTATATGATATTATGATCCATAGACATAAGACAAATAGGAATGTTGAAGTCGTACATCCATAATATGTCAACAGGGGCACAGGGCAATGTTTACAAAATGATTATATACCTATTACGAATTTATGTATATTATCAACCATGTAATTTGGCCCTGTTGGCATGATAATATGATATGCCTACCGACCATGATTTAAGATATACTATAAGACATAGCACATAACTACATAAGTATCTTAAATCAAATACTATAAAGTATAAATGATTAGTTGTTTAATACTATAAATGATCATTTATAGTATTTGCTTCGGACTCTTTAAAAATATACTCGTATCCAGTCTTTGGTTTCTGTAATACTATACTAGTGGATTAATCGAATGTAATCAAATGATTCATTCAAATGCATTTAAGTATTTAACATTGCTTTGAACTAGGTAGTTAATTATAATGTTTATATAATAAATAATTGAATAATAAATTAAAGCGTGAAATACGAAGTAAACAACAGTCAGTAATAATTAATATTATTTATAATTATTTATGTCTTATAATATGATAATAACAAATTGTATACTTTTATTATTTAAAATGTTTTATTCAATCATGAATCTAATAGGTAGAGATCTGATTTATATTCTCTGACTCTATAAAATTCTTAAAATATGATGTTTTATGTATTTAAATATGCAAAATATTCTTTTAATATTAAAAAAAAATTCAGCTTAAATTAATTTGTTATTTATTTGGTTTTAAATATATTTAATTTAACTAATTTTACTTTAACAATTAATAACTATATACTGTTCCATGTGTTCCGGTATTATTTTAGTACGCCGGTTTGTAAGAATTTTTTGTTTATGTTGAAGGACCGTTCGACGTTAATCGATGTCACTACACAATATTGCGAGACGAATAGTCGGGACAACTAACGGAATAACCGATGTGCTGTAAGGAATACATGAAGATTAATTTTTATTAAAATCCAGAAATAAATCATTCAGTAAACTTTGTATTTATAAAAGTGCTGATATACGTGAGATATGTTCATTATATGCCGATATTACAAAAATATTCTCAAATATTCTCAAACCCCTAAAATATGCTTTTTTATGCAAAATAAATTTTTTCCTGTGAATTCTGTGTTCCATGAATCGTAAAGATTTCTCACTCCCATTTAACTGCATAGACTATTATAGAAACAAATATGAAAAATCATAAAAATCCGACCTCTAGTGTAAGGCATAGAGACATAGAGTATTAGGCCCGGCGCTCGTCAAAGTAACATGACGCGTGATCTGACGTATGATATGACCAACTAGTAACAAGTGATTTGTTTGACTTACACCAAAATGATGTGATGTTCTAATGACAAATAATTTCCATGTTTTTTTTCATTTCCCACCATGTCGTCTGAGGATGAAGACGTTCTTGCTGCAGTGAATTTAGTTAATTATTTAAATTATAATCAAGGTTCTATAGTGCTAAAATACTGGGTCCATCCATTTTGGCGTAAAAATTGCTATTCTCTTGGTTTATACTCTGTGTTTAAAGAGCTAGATGATCCAGATCGTTTTAAAAGTTTTTACAGAATGGAAAAATCGACATTTGAAGAGTTGGTTAGGTTAGTTGGACCAGAAATCCAGAAAAAAGACACCAATTATAGAAGAACAGTGTGCCCTCAAGAACGATTACTTATCACACTTAGGTAAGTAAAACAAAACATTTTATCAAGTTAATTCTTAAAATCAATTAATTTTAATTAATTCTTTAAAATTAAACACATATTATTTATAAACGAATAAGTGTTGAATATAAATACTGCTCCACATTTAGGTAATATAGATTTACCATAGGTACCAGTAAATAAAATAATATATTTGAATTACATTCAGTTTATTAATAAATATTATTATATAACATAATTTATTCATAAACTAAACTTTTTTGTTTAAGTAGATAAAATCAATATTTGTAGACTTGTAGTTACGAAGTATAATATGAGTAATATGAAAAACAAAATAAAAATAATTAAATAACCCTGTAAATGAATAAATGTTTAAAATACTTGTATAATAAAATTAACATTTAGTTATAAAATGGATAGGTGTATGTGCCCTTTTCAGTGAACTCCTGTGTTTGACGTTGATCTGGTGGTGAAAATGTATATGTTTGACGTTGATCTGGTGGTGAAAATACAGGTGTTTGGCGTTGATCTGGTGGTGAAAATGCATGTATATGACGTTGAGCTGGTGAAGATAATGAATGTGGTGTTTGATGTTGATTATAAACTGCAGAAACTGTATGCTCACATAATATACAACTAGCTGCGTTTATCATTTGAACCTTATAACGCCTTTTCTGGTCTGGGGTCATCAATTTCATGTCTGGCAACAAATTTTTTAAAAAGCATAAATCCATTTCTTCCTCGGTATCAGTTTTCTTCTTCTTGGAAAAGAACTCGAGGCAGCCTTGTTGACATCTGATAAAAGAACTGGCGCGTGTTTTTTTTAATTTTTATTTATATTAGCACTGGATGTAGATGGAGAATATTAATCATCTTTCTTTGAATTTGGAACAGCCAAATTATCAGAACTTTGATCAGCTAACTCATATTCATCGGCGGCTTGGTCACATCGTAGTATATTATTTGACTATTTGACTAATGTGTGATCAGTATATTTTGTGATATTATTACTATTGATGTAATTAATTTTACTATTAGTAATTAGTCATTTGAGATATTTGAGATAATTTTATTAGTAAGTAAAGTGTAATCTACTAATTTACGTAAAAACGGATACATTTGGATATTTTGTCCTAGATTCGTACCTGTAGTAGGTTACGCATAGACGCATAGTATACTTTGTAATGAATATTAATAAGTAGGTACTTACTTTCCTAAATAAATACTGTATTTTGTACTAACAAAAAATAACTTCTTTAAATATATTAAATATATTACTTCTTGTATAATTATAAACTTGTATACTTGTATACTAAAAACTTAAAAACTTTGTTTACTGTCCGTCGTCACTCCGTCGAGCGCAATTTGGAAATTATGCATTTCCATGTGACAAATGACAAAAAGTAGTGCACGCGCTATTTTTCGAGGGACAAGCAACAACAATATTTAAACATGAAATTACATGTCGATTTGATGAGCGGGATAAAGTGATTTTCAGTTGTAATTGTGAACAAAATTATATGAATGACATGTTACTAACGCGTCACTTGTCATTTCACTCGTCAGATCACGCGTCATGTTACTTTGGTGAGCGCTGCCCCTTAGAGTAACAATACGCCATTTATCATTGAGCTTATGGCTACACTAATTGCGAATAGTGAGAATATTGGGTACTGGTTTGTTATAGCCCCCCCCCCCCCCACGGCGAGTGAAAACTTTAGAGCCCCGCCACTAGGGTTTGTTATGGCCCTGCCATCCATACAACAATAAATACATCGTATGAATGTAAAATAATGAGTTTATTTATTGATATTAATCTAAAAATTTGATGTTAAGCATATTGATATAATATTTTAAAATTTAAAGTTGAAAAATGGAATAATAATACTTTTAAAACAATGATAAATTAAAAAATGTTTATAATGTTAAAAACTATGGTTTCTGACGTTTCTGTGATTCCCAAAATCGTTAGTTTTTACTTGTTTATATTTTATTGTCGATAAATATCAAATACTAAAGAATCAGTAAAGATGATTATTATTTATTAAATAACTAATTTATGTTCATTCGTTTATTCTATCATTCGAATGTTTATGAAATCAAATCGTTTTTAAATCGAATTGATTCGAATGGTTTCGATTAATCGAATGATTTTAAAATAATCGAATCATACGATTATTTCATTCGATTATTCCCATCACTAGATACTACTATCTACAGTCTTGGTTAACCTCAAAGACTCAAAATTAAAAGCAAAGCATAACATTTGAAGTCTTGAAGTAAACAATTTGAGTATTAGTATATTATTATAACTTTTAATTATTTAAATAACAGGTCTACTATATATAACAATAAAATATTAAATTTAAAAAAACTACGATGAAAAAAAAACCTTGGTAAGTACATTTGAAATAATATTTATTGTGTTATTAAATTCTAAATATATTGGATGTTATTTTATCTGAATCTAAAATTCTGAAAATTATGTAAAATGACCTATGTATAAAACTGTAAAAAATGAAGTATATTAATTACAACATGCCGGGTTAATAATTGTATCTACCTAGTCTTTTTAGTGAAGCTTGAACAATGTTTATCAATTCAATATTATTAGTGAGAACTGAGAATATTTTAAGAAATTTTCTCCTTCTAGTTGTACATCGTTCGTAAAACGATTAATTTATATAGTGCCATTTATTTTCAATGTACAAATATACTTTTACATTTAACTACTTTTAATTTTTTTAATTTCTAAATATTACTACCTATATTATCACCTGTTGTACTAATAGTTAATATCATTCTCAATCTTGAAATCTTTCCATATCTTTAAAAATGTTCATTATATGTTTAGTGTAAATTATTGTATTGAATACGGCAAGTACATATTTGTATTGTCGCACACATTGTTTTAGATGAATGTATTGATTTTACAATGATATGTTTTTTGTTTTAAGTGTACAATATTAATTTAGTTGGGAAAAATATTTTGATTTTCAACTTTGGGTGGTAGTTACTGGTAGCAAATTGGATCTAGTTGGTAGCTTGAGAAGTAAAAATTGGAAATTCCCAGTGTTTTCAAAAGTAATTGGGAGAAAGGAAAAATAAAAAGTTAAGGAAAACAAGAACTGTAACACTAAACTAGTTATCAATAGAACCTTGTTTTTTTGGTAGAACTCAAATTTGTTAATATTTGAAATTTTTACAAAATGTTTATATTAACAGTTAACTACTTTTAAATTTAATAATTTTTTAAATATGTAATACATTTGTTTAGGGGACGCAAGCAAGTGGAGAGTGATGATGAAGCTTCTGTAGATTTTGATGGTGAAAATTCGGAGAGTGATTATGATGAGAACGAAAAGCTTCTTCTAGAAAAGACAAGGAAAGAACTAGTTCAAGGACCATATGATTCAGATGAGGAGAGCGAAGTAATACATTTTATATGCTATTAATATTGTGTACAATTTATATTTAGTTCCTTTGTATTCATTTTAACAAATAATTATTGAGAGTTATGACATAACCAAATTATTCTTTAATTTAATCTTTCAAAGATTATAAGATATACCTATTAATTGTTTTTTCTATTGTGTAACAAAAATAATTTAAACGATCAATGTAGAAATATTTGTTCTCAATTATTCTTGAATCAATGCATTTTTTCTAACTAAAAATTATAATACTTATGGTTTAAGTATTAATTTGTGGATTGAATTTATTATACCTATAACCTTATTGATTTTTACATGTTGAATTACGTAATACTTTTAAATATTTTTAAACACAATAGATAAAAAATAAGTAAAAACATTTAAAGTATATAATTATGTCTAGGAAGAAGTATTTCCACTTCGTAATAAACTAGATCAGTATGAAGACAGTGAAGAAGATGACGAAGAAGTTGAAAATGATATTGAACCAAGTTCTGACGATGACGAAGAAAAAAATGTTAATGATAGTGATATAGAAGGCGCAGAAAGTGGTTCAGATGATTTACCTAATGATAAAGCTTGGGGTCAACTAAGAAGATCATTTTATAACACTGATTACTTAGATAAAGATCATGGAGGTAACATAATTATATTTTATTTTATTTTATTATTTTATTTTATTAATTTTAATAAAATATATTAAGGTTTTGAGGGGGAAGAGGATGAAGAAACTGCGAAAATGGAAGAAGAAGAAGCGCGTAAAATTCATCAAAGAATGATGTCTGAATTAGAAAATGTAGATCTTGACGGTGAACTTTTTATTGTAAGTTATTGTAAATAAAATGTATTTACAGAATATCTTATTTATAAATATTTATTATTTCTAGGGGACTAAAGTAACAGAAAATGTAAAAGAAGGGGCTGTCACAAATGACATAACTCAAATGATGATGGTTAAAAAGGATTTGAGTTCAATGAGTGATCGTGAAAAAAGAAAATTGTTGATGAAAGAATCACCTGAACTTTTTGGACTAATCACTGATTTTAAAAGTAATTTTTTCTTAACATTCTTTTCTTTTAAATAAAAATTCAAATAATCTATGATATATAATGTATCTAACAATATAATTATTAATTATTATATTATAGCCTACATGGGAAGTGTACAAGATAAATTGTCTCCTTTTTTGAAGTTGGTTAAATCGGGCAACATACCTAAAAGTCGATTTACAGAATACACGCAATGTTATTATGAAATAATATTAAAGTAATACTAATATTTTATATCAATAATATCTGTCAAGACAATACATTTTTACATTTTTATTATTGTTTTAGTTACTGTACCAATATTGGGTTCTATTTTCTTATGAAATCTGTTCGTAAACCAGTGCAAAATCATCCTATAATGAATAGATTACTTCGATACCGGGAAATGTTGTGTAAACAAAGTAAACATTTTGAAACATTAATATCACCTCAGATTGATAAAATATTGTCCGATATCAATATAATAGAGTAAGAAATTTTTTAGTTTAATTTACTACATTTAATAATTACATTTTAGGTGCTTAATGTTCTTTTAATTTTAGATCTAACTCTAAGGCAAGTAAAAATAAATCTAAAAAATTACTTAATTTACTGACAAAACCTGTACAAAAAGCTGTTCATATAATTAAACCCAAAGAAAATAATGTGGAAAATTTAAATGAGAACCAACCAAATAAATTTGAGGATAGTGCAGATAAAGAAGAAGATGCTACAGAAGTTAAAGGTATAATACTATTTGAATGAAATGCTATAATAGATATATTGGTGTTTTCATAACAAATTTTTTATTTTATAGAAGAAACTATGATGACCACTGATGAAAAACGTGGTATAACCTATCAAATAGCTAAAAATAAGGGACTTACCCCTCGTCGTAAGAAAGAACTTAGAAATCCAAGGGTGAAAAATCGTATGAAATATCGTAAAGCAAAAATCCGTAGGAAGGGACAGGTTCGCATTATGAATATTCAAGTCTTATGTTTAGAGTTTCATAATATTTTGAATATAAATATTAATAATTGTATGTTTTCCATTTCAGATTTCAGAGCCACGTAAAGAAATTCGTCGTTATGATGGAGAAATCTCTGGTATTAAAGTTAATCTGTCTAAGAGCATAAAAATTAAGGCCTAATTTGTTGTTTTTTTTTTGTGGTACATGTTGGTCAATTTATGACAAATAAGTCCACATAATTTTTTTTTAAAGGAAAATCAATATTTATATGTTTTTAAATAATATTAAATGTTGTTATACTTATGCATTGTATTTCCTATGATAATTTGTTATTTACTTTACACAATGAAGAACAAGAGTGAGCCGCTAAGCTAGCGGTTCCCAACCTTAGATTGCAATCCAAATTAGTCGCCGAGGTTTTTATGGTGGGTCACGAAAGAATTACTTACATATAATATTATTTTTGTTTCATCAACTTCAGTTTTGTGAGTTGGTTTTATAAGCGGAAGTGGTAGTGCGTTTGACTTTCTACTTGTCTAGTTGTCTCCCTTCTTAAAATATGGTTTTGCCTTTGCGCCACTGAACTTGTATGTTATAAAACGAGCATCAAGTGGCTAGATTCACAAAACAATTCAAAGTGCATCAAAATCCCATATAAATTATTTTTAGTAATTATAAATTTTTACTAACTTAAGATAGAAGCGCTTGAATGGATTAACAATGTTGTTAGTGCATTAGGACATGAAATTAAATCCAGAAGGCATAATATAGGTACCTACTTGACGTTTTAGTGAAAAAAAGAATGATGGACTTAATATTATACATTGTACATTTAATTTAATTTAATTATTTACATTATTGTCTTTGAAAACACGATTCACATCATTTAATTTATAATAATACATGAATGAATAAAATATTATAATCTAAGTAATTGGACGGACAAGGGGTAGGGGCATAGGCAAATAGCCATTATGATTATAAATACTTGTATCTCACCCCAGCACCAATTCCTAATTAAAAACTGGTTTAAACAGATAAATACTTTGACAAGATTTTTAGTTTACCTACTCAATTCCTTTTAAATCTATTATTCTATAAAAAAAATAAAAAATAGTATGATTGTACAAATATAGACTATAGTTATTGTTATACCATAATTAAAATATATTTTTATGGTATACAAAATTGTCAATCTTGAAATTGAAATAAAATCGAATTTCATTCAAACATTGGAAATCATACAAATCTGCAGTAGGTAATTTAATCAGGGGAAACGCTAGAAACGTGGAGATATCAACTCCTGAATGGTATATATTTGGATTTTGTTTTCATTTATTTCTTACAAAAGAATGATTGTTTTTTCCCAGATTAATAACTCAACAAAATCACGGAAATTGTCAAATTATTTCGAATTAAAATATTCTTTAACATTTTAAAAATTATTTCTAAGCTTTGCAAATTTCATTCAAGATTTCCCTTAAGTTTTCTTACATTTAACAAAAAAAAAGTCAAATTATTTGTTTATAATTTATAAACGTTTGAAGTTAGATATTGGATGTTGGCGAATCGCATACAATAATTTTCTAATTTTGTTAATAAAAAATAATTAACTTCAGGTACCTACTTGACATTTTCATCAATTGTTTAATTTATCATTTTTTAAACGTGATAACATTTTTAAAATATTTGGATTCTAAGTTATTTGTAGACATTTCTAATTTTCGATTTTTTTAGTTTTTTATTCTATAAATGTCAATAAAATGTATTTTTTGGGTTAAAAAGCTTGAAAATGTAATACATGGTTCCTCTTAAGCAGTTATAATAGCAGTTAAGAAATAAAATAGATCCATAGGCATGATGTTTATAAGTACTTACCTATTTAAAGTTTTAATTTTTACAACATTTATCAAAACCTCAAAAATTTTCAATTAATTTTTAGTTAAAAAATTATAAAATGCTTAATTTTTACAGCTAAGGATTGAAAAACGATTCTCGTGAATGGATCGTACTGCGAACAAAAAATCTAAAAAATATGTAACCTCAGTTATTCTTTTTGCAGAATTTTTAAGTTTACATTTGAAGGAAATTACATATTAACGCCAAGAATAACGATTTCATTTATTTCGTTGTAATTTAAAAATATTATTAATGGGTACACAAAACGTTTAGAGTATATTATTATGTTAATATTTTGTACCTATAATTATATAATGACAAATTAAAATGTATTTTTTTGGGAAAAAATGACTTTCACCTACTGTAGTACTAATGATAAAATAAATTACTTTAATCACAATATTATCAACAAATATACTATAAGTAATAAAAAATAATATTATAGGCTGACCGTTATAGCTCAGAATCGTTTTTCCTTGTTCGTATATAATGATTTTATATAATTTAATTCAAATTTAACACATCCATTACAGCAACTCCTTAGAAACCCATAATGTATAGCAGAGCGTTATCCACTTCACCGCTTTCATTATAGTCGTCTACTATTGTAATAATGTTTAATTAAGGGCAGTCATTTGCTTGGTTATTTGACTTATAATACCTAGGTATAGCTATTAACTCGATAATATATTTTATTAAATATTATAATATTATATAGTACCATTGATTATAAATCATTGATAGTACCTATGCGTTGTTTTTGTCATAAATTAATTCAACCTATACCTACTCAGTTTTTTTTCATATTTTTACTTTAAATTTTGGTTCTTCGGGATTTTGATCGGATCATAAAAAATATATATATCACCTATTATATGTATTGAATAATATGCGAAAAACGAATAGCTTTTTTTGTACCGCAACCAAATATACCTACATTTTCAGAATAATGGAACCCCATTTGGCAGTTTGTGACATTAATTGCAGTTTGATATAAACCATGATGTAAAAGCCCGACTAAAAGGTTCAAAGTGTATAAGAATATTATACACGCCCACGCCGATAGATACACATAAAACGAATGTAACATATTATATTGGTTTTAAACAGCATTCTATATATTTTATTCCAGATACACCATCCATGTTATATAATATATTGTATATATTTTTTGATCGTTAAGCAAATATCTATACATCAAAAGTATTTCCAAGAGTAACAAAAATGGATTTCGATGTTCAATAACCGTTTTAATATTATTACATGTGCAAGAAAATCGTTTAATATCAAGGGTGAAATACTGCAGACACATACAGTACGGTGCGTCCTTTAGAATTTTCGCTCGGATGGTCCGAATTCTAATAAACGCAGAATTTCTCAACGGGCGGTCGCTCTTGTCCAAATCTATGGGTAACAAAAAAATCATACAACATAAACATTCTTCAATACACGCCGAGACTGAACGATATAAAAATTTAACTATATAGCATATGTATAGGTATAAACATATAAACGATGACCGATAGGTACCTATATTATACATCACACAACGTATATAAATACTTATAGGTAATAATGGTAGGTACAGCCTGGTCATTTAATATTATGATACCAGAAAAAGATATAAAATTGGATAAGATTCGATTATAATAAAATATTTTTTCCACGTATTACATTACAACTATAGAGTACCTATTACATTATTATGTTTTATTTTAACGACATTTGCTGTTTAAATCCTATTCACCATCAACCGTCAATAAATTCTCTTGCTATTCGAATAGGATTGCCTAAATACATTTAAAATAAAAATTGTAAATGCAAAAACTTGGATGAATATTGATAATTTTTAAATAAAATTAAGATGTATTACACCCGCAAAACTTGCTAAAAAATAGTTATTGCCATATGTTTTATAATAATGGGTCATTTCGCTCTAATTTTTAAACTTACGGAGCTAAACGTGATCTGCTGCTCGTAAAATGTGGTATGTTACGCAATTGTAAGACGGAAACAAGTAACAACAAATATATAATAAAAGTGATCTTATAAGATGATTACAGTTTTAAATTTGGATGTTTCAGATAGAGAGAAAATATGAATTTTCGAAAAACCGGAATATGAAAAGATGCCGTGCTTGTCAATAATTTGTTTTGCTACATCCTCATCTGTTATATAGATACGTCATACATAATTAAATAGTTTTATTGTCGGCAATTCGATCGATCCTGATGGTACAGATCAAGGAAGTTATAGAAAGTTTTCAAAAAAATAGCTATTATTAATCTTGAAACTAGTTGCTTTTAATCAACAGGCAATAAATGTCCGTGGTTCAATCTCTGGCCGATGACATTTTTGCATTATTTTTTTGAATTAATTTTAATTCTTCGTTTTTGATTGACGTTATATTTAATATTATCTTACTGTTACGTGTGGTATATGGTAATTATTAATATTTAATCAGAGTGTGATAATTGTTTATAAGCTTTTATAATATTAGTTATAATATAATATATTATATTATAGTTTTATTATTTTCCTTACATAATTATACATTTATTTATTTATTGTTAATTGTAAGGTGTTACCAGTGGAAATTGGTATTGGGAGACAACAGTTGAAGAAATGCTCGATAATTCGGCTTGCCGTATTGAATGGAGCCAAGAATTTACAAATGTTCAAGCACCATTAGGATATGATACATTTGGCTATTCATGGAGATCTAGGTTATAAACATGATAAAAAAAAAAGTTATCAAAAATTAAATGGTTTTAAAATATTTTTTATTAATTTTTAAAGAAAAGTACAGTGTTTTACGAGAGTCGTGGAAAACATTATAGTAGCGGGTTTGGTGAGGGCGATACATTAGGATTAGGCATTATGATATGTCTACGTATACCAACATAATATCTTTTCCACCAACTCATAAAGATTTGGTATTTAACATTATTTATAAAATATATTTACTATCTTTAATAATGCCTTCCCAAGTAATACTTAAATATGTTATTTCATATTATGCTCTTTTAGATATTGATTTGTATGATGACGAACAGTCTCAAGATAACAGTCGCGATGCACTTAAATGCTTAAAACCACTAATTGGGAGTTATATAATTTATTATAAAAATGGAGAATGTTTTAATGAAAGTGCTGTAGATTTATATGATGGAAAATATTTTCCTACAGTATCTTTGAATAAAAATTGAACTCTGTCTTTAAACTTTGGACCCAATATCAAATACCCACCACCTCAATCTGATAATTTCAAATATAAAGGGGTATGTAGACAGTAAACCAATATTTATTTTAAATTACTAAAAAAAAAACAATGTAATAATAAAAACAAAAACAGTTTTCAGGAATGGGAAAGGGCTGGTGAAGCCATAATATGTGAACAAACTTTAGCCGATATATCTTTTTTTAACAATAAATGAAGGTAAATTAAAATTAAGTGATATATAACAATATGATTTTGTGTGTACCAAATTATGCTATTTTTGTAATATTATATTTTTTATTGTGTTTGAGTTTTGAATTTAATATTACTACCCACTTATTCTAATATTAATAAATTTGTCTGTGTCTTACTATATATAAACATAATCGTTGTGTACACAATAAAAATAAAAAACAGTAAAAACTACTACTAGTAATCTTCTGTATGTGAACTTATAGTTTAAAATTACTCTATTGTGTATTATCAAAATATGTATTTTAAAAATACCTCTATATAACGTTTTCATAATTCATAGTAAACACTGTGACTTACCAAACTCTGTGTCTACTATGCTCGGTTTATGGATATAACCCTGCAATGGAATCTATCATAATTCATAACTATAATTGCAATAAAAACCGTAATTTTGAAAAAGACCGTTATTTTTATATTTTTGTACCCAAAATTCGTCATTAATAATTGAATATAATAGATACCTATTTAGAGGATATTGTTCCAAATGTTTATAATAAATATTTTTTCCATACATGATACAATTTTAAAAATCACAAACAATTGTAAATTTATTATTTTGTACCTAGTTATAAATTTATGAAAATTTTAATTTTCACACCATCCTGACTGAACGATGTATCCATTTCCGGCGTGGCCACTACTTGTTGGTTCAAAAAGCTTGAAAATTGAATTGTTTACCTAACAAATTATCTACCAAATCTAACCTAATCTTTACTACTTATTTACTATTTACTAATCTTAACCAGTAGTTATAGGTCATAAGTGTATCTTATGATAATTGGAATTTGTACAATAAGTCTTAATGCGATACCTTGCCAAGAGCTTTGAAATAAACATCAACACAAACATCACTTGTGTAGTTATGTGACAGTGCTTTTCGTATGAGTTACTTATATAGTTATATGATCAGTGATACAAAGAAGTTGTTGGATTTTGGAATGATGTGCTCCAAATACAAATTTATATTTTGCAATTATTTGAATTATTTGAGTATAGTTTAAACGATTTACAATCTTGAGTAAATTTCTGTATCAAAAACGATTAATATAGGTATATAGCGGTGTTCATAAACTAATCGCCGATTATCAATCGGGTGTTATATCCTTTCCGGATTTTTTATAGGTATATTAATCCCTTTATTCCAATCATGTGAACAAAGTAGAACATACCTATTATCTATATGTAGTATACATTTATATCATAATATATTAGGTAGGTACTGCTAATAACTTTAAGTCAATAATAATAATAATAACTTACTGAATAGAACGGTGCGAATAGTTAGGTAGTTTCGTGGTATAAATAAACAATACCTTAAAATGAACCTTAATATTTTAAAAATGTCATTGTATATAGTAAAAACAAAATATATTATATAAAAAGTTTAAGTAAACACACATAACAACTGTAAGCAATTTTTATTTTTTAATATTGCTTTACTAGAAATTAATTTAATTTAGTACAATAATAATAATTTTTTACCGATTTGAAAAATATTTGGATGGTGATTCAAGGTGTGCTGAAGCATATCTGGCACACCCCATACTTCTGCTTATGATAATAATATATTATAATATCGGCATCCCCTCCCATTACCCACAAACTATAATAATATAAGTTTAGGTGTAAGACAAATATATAACATATAGGTATATTAATATGTGTTACTATAAGTACCTATATTATATAGGCACCAACGTATAAATTAAAAAATATATTATTTATTTTGTGTTAAAAGTAAAATGCACTGCGTACTATGTTTGGAGGTCCTTTTCGTTGCCTTCACTGTGGCAACGAAAACATCACGGACTCCTTCTTTGGTCTTCGAAGAACATTCTAAAAACGCGAAAGCTTTAATATCTTCCGCCACTGATTGGCCAATCTCTTTGGTAATCATGACATTATATTCCGGTATCCGAATGGTAGTTTTTCTCGGTGTGTCCACATTGTAGTTTTCTGAGGTGGCTATTGATGTTTCTGGTTCTAGTCTGTTAGTATTTTTTTGACCAATTTCTGATACGTCGAATTCTTCTTGTCTTGCTACTATCAAGTCACTGTAGCCATCCGATTTTGGCTGTACTGGCAGCCCTTCGACCGTTTTATGTGGTTTCCTGTCAGATTCCAGTGTGGATTTCTCGTCTGTCAAAAACCTGCACCAATCGATCTCTGCCTGCAGATCAATGCATGTCACCGTGTCGTTTTCAGTAACAGTTTGTCCAACAGTGACTTCGGTTGAGTTGCATTTGTCCTGACCAGACTCCGGTAGATCAATGTTCTGCAGCAGATGGTTATCGCGAAGGTCCTTCTTATTTCCTACCAATATTACCGGAACTTCCTTGCAAAAAAACCGTACTTCTGGCACCCATTTATCAATCACGTTGATCAACGATTTGGGGGTATCGATAGAATAGCATATGATAACTACATTCGCGGTCTCGTATGACAGTGGTCGTAGCCTGTCGTAATCCTCTTGGCCAGCAGTGTCCCACAGGTCGAGCGCTACCTTTTTCCCATCAACTTCGATCTCGGTTGAATAGAAGTCAAACACCGTTGGTACGTATACATCTGGAAAAATATCCTCAAAAAACACTCGCAAAAGGCACGTCTTACCGCTCTCATCATCACCGACGATCACCACTTTCTTCTTAATGGGAGACATATTTTCCTACGACAAAAACACATAAAACGGATTTCAGGTACGTGCATTTTATTTTATTTATTTTTTTGTGAGTTTCAGCAACATGGACTGTATATATGGACTAAGTAGGGATACGGTTGATACGGCTGAAACGCGTGTTTAATGTGTGGCAAGAATTCGTCGACAACCACCGTGCTATACAAGATCTTTTAAAGGTTTTCCTTTGAAAATGATGGAGATAATACGACATAGGTTATGTCATATTATGTGTAGCTGACATTTAAAGCTTTCTTTTACGAGATCTTATTCAATTGGTTATGCGTATATTAAAATTGTTTGTAATTATGTAAAGTCTAAATTTGTAGACGCCAGACAGTAGGTACCTACTAAACCTACATATGTGCTTGTCATGTATATTTTTAGAGAAAGTTTATCGGTCATCACATATTCACTAAGTAAGATCACCTCTATTTTTCCTTTAATAATGAACTTATTCAAATTCTGATTTTTGGAATTTTAAGATACACACGAAGTTCATCACATTTTCAAACTCTTGATTTCGTATGACGTACTATTTAAGATGATTCTTAACATACTTCTGTTCTCCAAATGAGAACCCGTTAATATATGCAAGCCTGGGCATAAAAACTTAATTTTAACTTTTTTAAATTTAATTTTGAACTTAACTGATTTTGATGGATATAAACTTAATAAATAACGAGTTACATTCAATCAAATCCAAGTTATGTTAATTTAAAAATAATTAAATAATAAGTATAATACAATATTATTGTTGATGATGCAAATTGCATAAACATTTACTTTTATTTATTTTAAACCATATTATTACTATAACTATTTAGATATTTATGTATATAAGTTAGGTTCTTAAGTTAATTGTAAATTTCCATACACTTTTAACTTAACCGAGTGAAAAAAAAATAGGATAACTACTAACTTTAAACTCTTTAAAATGTTCTCAATGAACTTAACTTAACTCAATTAAAAATCATCATTAACTTACCCAGGCTTGTCAATATAACGGCGTACTTGTCATATAGACCATTTTTACAAATTAATAAAGTTGATGGACCAGAACATTTTTAAACCACCATAGCCCCTATATCTTCTGAGCCTATTGTCATGAACCCATTGTCCTTAGTACCTATACAAAACATAATAGATACCTAAATCAAAACTAAGCACTCGTTTTGGTTTTATTATAGGATAAATCCCTTCATCACCCCCTTCCGTTTGGCCACCACTAATTCTTTACATAATATAACTTAAATTACCAACCTTCAACTCAATATTTCCTCGATACTATAGTATATCTTGATTAGATCGTATAAGTGTACCTGTTCAGGAGCACAACCAACATTAGGTAGTTTAATAAATATATATGTGAGACGTTGGTTATAAATACACTTTCTTGTCACAGAACTTAATAAAACAAAATAGAATAATAAATAGTCTTATGTGTTTAATAATTGTGTGTGAATGTTATAATAATGTTAATTGTTAAGTGTAATAATGATGGTGAAAATTCGAAAATTATCTTATTCAATATGGAAATTATAATTTATGGATTATGCCATAGAAGACTCGCGTTGTCGTGCGGTGAAAATCGCAGTGCACGTAACTCTCCAAATCATCGGAAATGATTTATGCACCTACCTACAATATAAAATATGTGTACAATAATTGTATAAAATTAATACCAATAGGTAAATAAAGTTTGATACACATTTGAACACGACGGGGAGGGGTGATGGATGACCCTCCTGAGTCCTATCATTTTGTGACCATAAGTTAAGCCCCTAGCTGAGTCAAGGGCCAATTTTGTCAGTTGTTAAGAAATAAAATGCATTTTTTCTAACTATGTGATAAAAAAAATTGTAGGTAATTATTATTTTTATGTAGGTAATGTACATTTTACATTTACGATTTGTGTGAAAAAAGATTTTGTTATTATTTAAAAATAAAACTTGCCTTAAATTTGTTATTCATTTACATATTTGTAGTTATAGTATATAATTAAGCAAATTCAAAATACTAATCAGGTGTGCTACTACCTAACCAACACTAATTACCT